GACAGATAAATGTCATAAAGGTATGAATCCCGGAGGTTAGGGGAGCTTTCCTGAGGACATGGCATTTTTCCTGAGATATGAAGGAGGAACTGGAGTTAATTAAGTAGAAGAAGGTGGGGGTGGAGGATAGAGCATTCCAGACAGGTAGAGAGAGACAGAGACAGACAGAGACAGAGAGGGAGAGACAAGAGAGGGAGATAGCTCCGCTAGCAGGAGCTTGGCAAGGAGTGGCACTCATTAAGAGTTTATTCCCTCCCTCAGCACCCAGAGACGAGGAGGAGGACAGCCTGGAATGCCCCCTGACCTCTCCAGGCTCTCCCAGGAGGTGGCTTTGGTGACCTGAGCCTGTAGGTAAAAATCCTAACAGGAATAAAGCAAAAGCTCGGCTCTGCTCTGCTTAAGGTGAAAGGAGGCTGAACGTGGCCCTCCTCTTGTCTTCCCCACCCTCCCCCTCTTCCGAACAGACACACATGTCAAAGATAGAACCTGTCTTGTAGAATAAGATGGAGGGTTTTCATTACCTGAGAGGAGCCCAAACACTCCTATATGTTCCTTGGGATAATTTGTTCTTATCAAATCTACTAAGTATTATTCTTATAGGACATAGAGGTGACATCTTTGCGATGATCAGTTGCCTGCAGCAGGATCTTGTCTATAATCACAGAGAAAAACAGGTGAAGGGAGATAGGGAATGGAGCAAAGGAGGATTTCAGCTGACATTTGAAGAAATAATGAGGGTCAAGGTTGAAGAGGAGGAGATGATATACAGGAAAAGATGCCAGTGGGGTCATGAAACCCTCCTGGGATTGGGGAGGGAGCCCCTCCATCGTATATGGTGAAAGAACACTCACGGCACATCACGCGATGAAAGAGCTTGAGAGATGAGTTCAGACAGAGTTAACTCCACATTGACTTTCCGACAGGGCCATGGTGCCATTGGTTCTCCTGGTCTCATTTCAGCCTTTATCCACCAGCAGCTCCGCCTTCTCCTCCCAGCCTTGGAATGAAACCTTCTGGGCCCTTCTCAAACTCAACCGCCTCTTCTCTGCCCTCCCTCACAGCCCTCCCACGGTGCCCTCTGGTGCTCTGGGCATAAGCCTGGTGCCTAACATGACACCTTGCACATGGAGTGCGCTTGGTAAATGTGGGTTGAAGAAAGAAATGGATGGATGACAACCATTCGTGTTCGGGGAACGCTTGTGAAGTAACAAGTGCCCTCTACACAATATTGATGGTTATTGACAGTTATTGATGGTTATTGCTGGGGTGACAGTTAAAGTAGCTTTGAGGTGGAATCAATAATTTCATTTTCCCTCCAGAGATGCCCATGCGCACACCAAGACTGTAGTTGCATGGTATTCCTGGTGGAGTGGCAGCAAAAACAGACCTGGTTGTGGCTTTCCATCAGCAAATTCCCAGGGCCCTTTCTTAACAGGCAGATATTTGGATTCACCCAGAAATTGATTAATTTTTCCCAACAGGCCTCCCACGGACATGGCTTACAGAGCTGTAAATATAAAAGTTCTGGCATTTCTTTCAAACAGAGCACTTTTGTGAGCTCATGGCTGCACAGACAGAGATCCAGAGCACCTGGCCCTACATAAATTCTCCCCATGTGGCCACGACAGACCTAATCACTGCGTCCTGAGATGTTTGCCCCCAGGACCAGAGGAGTACAGAGCGAGGCGCTCTCTCACGCCCACCATCCACCTTCGCTGCTTCTGAGTGGGACTTCAGGACAACATTGCTTCAGAGGAGCTCGCGGTTAAGGGGAGACCAAGAAAAGAACAGGCTGGCAGTGCCCTCGGCGGTCCCGGATCTATCTCTTGCTTCAACAGTGTTTAGATGGAACAGACCCAGGGATGCTCCTTCTTCTAGCCTCCGACCACTCTCCTGCGTCTCATCCAGTCACCACCTTCAAAACCACCTCCAGGACCAGCCAACACACCGGGTTTTTTTCCTACCTTAACTCCTTACGCTTAACAGCCATGAGCTTCCAAATTCGTCAGAATTATTCCACCTGGATGGAGGCTCCGGTCAACCGCCTGGCCAACCTGCATCTGCACCTACCTCTCTCTGGACTACTACTACAACCGTGACGATATGGCTCTCGAGGGCGTGGGCCACTTCTTTTGCGAGTTGGCAGAGAAGAAGCACGAGGGCGCTGAGCATCTCTTAAAGTTGCAAAACAAGCGTGGCGGCCGCATTCTCTTCCAGGACGTGCTGAAACCTTCCCAAGATGAGTGGGCCAAAACTCAGGATGCCATGGAGGCCGCCCTGGCCTTGGAGAGGAACCGGAACCAGGCCCTTGTGGAGCTGCAGGCCCTGGGTTCTACCTGTGCAGACCCTCGGCTCTGTGACTTCCTGGAGAACCACTTCCTGGATGCGGAGGTGAAACCGATCAAGAAGATGGGGGACACCTGACTCACCTCCGCAGGCTGCCGGCCCCCGGGCTGGGCTGGGCGAGTGTCTCTTCGAAAGGCTCGCCCTCGAGCCCCACCAGGAGCCTTTGGAGCCCAGGGGCCTTTCAGAGGCCCCTCTGCATCGCCCTGGTATCCCTGGCTTTTACCTGAGCCTCTTCCCGAAACTATTAGTCATTCTTTTAACCACCCTGGAGCCCTCTCCCATGCCTTGGACCAAATGAAATAATAAAGCTTTTTGCAGGAAAAGAAAAAAAAAGAAAAGAACAGGCTGCCAGGGAACCACTGGCCAGAGAGCCGCATCCCGGCACACACTCGCAGCCGCAGCGTGGACAGCTCCAGGTTAGTGCAGCGAAACATGTTCTGAGTTGCGCAGCCAACCCCACATGCTGGGACAGGATGGCCCACAGCCCTGGTGGCTGGATCCTTCAAACTAGAAGGAACAGAAGGACCAGGGTCCAGAGGCCAAGACCGTGTGGGTGGAATGGAGGCTGGCTGTCACCCCAGCAAGTGGCACGGCAGAGGTCCAACTTCGCTTCTCCTGGTGGTCCGTGGAGAAGGCAGGTGCCACCAAAGGAACAGTTCTTATGTAATCAGGGTGCTGAGCCTCCTCAGTAGCAGGTACACAAGCTCAAAAGCCCCAACACCCGGGTGCTTACATACTGGAACTTGACCTGTTTTCTTATAACCAGATCTAGTTTCTGTCACACACACCCCAGGTGGCCAGATGGCAGGAAAGGTGGGCAACTCCGGTGGCTTCTCCCTTCACCCTCCTCACCCCAAATCCCCCTACCCCCTCTCTCCCAAAGTTAACCAAACTTCTGGAAGGTGTAGGTGGCAGCATCTTCAGGGGAAGGTATCCCTCAGGGTCCCTTGTCCTTCAGCCCCTCCCCAACAGACCAAAAGCAGAGGAGTGGAGAGGGAGACAACAGGAGCCTCTCTCACACAACACCCAGCAGAAGAGAAAAAATGGTATCTCCAGACCAGACAGACAAAGGCTGATGCCCTCACCCTTAGCAGGAAATGTTTTTCATCTATAAGTTACTTATTAGTCCTTATTGGTTCTTCTAGTTCAGTGGCTTTTAAACTATAATCCAGGAAGATTCCTCTGTGTGTGTGTGTGTGTGTGCGTGTGCATGTGTGCATGTGCATGTGCATGTATGTGTATGCATGCACATATGGTGGGGAGGAGATCAGCAGCTAACAAACTTTTAGGCCTTTAACTTCTCCATCTCTGCCTTTGGGACCATGCTAAGCTACAGGGCTATTAGTGAAACCAATGATTCATGTGTCTGTTTCGGTGACTCCAAAGTAATAACTCATTCATCAATGGAAAAGTATCAAAAGCTGACTCAGTTTGGAGCATTCTTTAGATATCACTGGAGACTAACATAATAATGGGCAGAGATAATGGTGAAGCCACTTCTAATGATTAGATTGAACAGAGTGAAATGATACCACGTAATGATATCATTATAGATGAAATGAGACCATGTCTGGGATTAGTTTCAAAATAACATGAGAAGGGAAGAAATGGGTGGGAGCCGATGCAAGACTGGCCCTGAGTCAACAGTTGATGAAGTTGGGAGATGAGTACAGAGGAGTTCCTTCTACCAGTCTGTCTAGTTTGGGATCTGTTTAAATTTTTCTGTAGTAAAAATTAAAATTAATCAAGAAAAATAAAGCATTCTTCATATTTAGGAGCAAATGAAATACAAGCATTTTCTCTCAGGCTGACATTTTCTCAGCCTGCTATTGTCTCTCTTTGAAACAACTTGCTCTGACTAACCTATGTGCTTAAACACAGCATTCAACAATGGTTACTAGTCTCTGAACACCTGCCACGGGCCAGCGTGTGCTAGATATCCTCCCGTACATTAGCTCAGATGCTCCAGGCACCCCTGAGAATGCGGGCACTGAGGTTCAAGTCTGCCAAGTAAGTTTCCCGAGAGCACGCCACTAATGGTGATGGACACAGGTTTCGGCTTTCACAACCATTAAATTAAGTGTTAGACAGTGAAATATGTGTTTATCATTCAAAGTTAGCCTTGGAAGAAGCGTTCCTTGAAAAGACAGAAATGAGGTTGTGGAGTCATCGCAGACAGCGCCAATCAGAAGGCTGTGCTCTGCGGAGCCAGGGGCCCTAACTTGCTTCGTGTTCAGGGAAGCTAATTGGGGAGCTGGACCCCACACTGCTTTGGCAGCTGCTGTCAATTCCAGGTTTTCATCCTTCCATTCCAAGGCCCACATTTCTTTTACTAAACCATAGAAATGAACTTCCAGTATCCAGACTGTGGAAAAAAAGAAGCAAAACTATCTAATGTGCAGGTGATCTAATCTTATAGATGGAAAATTCCAAGGAATCCACTAAAAATAAAAACTATGAGACCTAATAAATGAGTTCAACATGTATTAGGTCTCACAGATACAAGACTAAATAGAAAAACCAATTGTATTTTTATATACTTGCAATAAACAACCTCAAAAAGGAAGTTAAGAAAACAGTTCCATACTATTTGGCTTTAAAAAAAAAAAAAAGATGAAGTATTGCCATTTGAAAGTAACAATGTACTCTCTTACCATTTGCCTTCGATTCTCCACCAGGTTGATGCCAATAATTCCTAAGAAAGACCCGAAGCCCAGCTGAAAGCAAAGAAAAAACAAGGAAAAAGCACCCAGTTAGCACGCTGGTAGCTTGATGCTGACTTCTAACAGTAAAGAATGCATAGGAGACTGCCGCCCTTAAAGCATCTCACCAAAGGCCCAAGGCAGGCCACTCCCGCCTCTCCAAGTTCTGACCACTAAGTGGCAGATGGTCCATGTACATTTGGGTGGACTCCTCAGGCTCAATGGAAGCCGGTGATTGGAATAGAAACTTCTGAGTCATGATCTATCCCTTCTTCTTTTTTTTAAATCTTTATTGTTGAAAGTATTACATATGTTCCCCCCTTTGCCCCCCATTGACCTCTTCTAGCCCGCCCCCGTTCCACACCCCAGACCTTCACCACCATATTGTCAGTGTCCATGGGTTATGCATATATGCATACAAGTTCTTTGGTTGATCTCTTCCCACCCACCCACCCACCCTCCCCTGCCTACCTTCTGAGGTTCGACAGTCTGTTCCATGCTCCTATGTCTCTGGTTCTATTTTGTTCATCAGTTTATTTTATTCATTAGATTCCACATATGAGTGAGATCATGTGATACTTGTCTTTCTCTGACTGGCTTATTTCACTTAGCATAATGCTCTCCAGGTCCATCCATGATGTTGCAAATGGTAAGAGTTCTTCCTTTTTTTACAGCTGTGTAGCATACCATTGTGTAGATGTACCACAGGTTTTTTATCCACTCATCTGTTGGTGGGCACTTCGGCTGTATCCAAATCTTAGCTATTGTAAATTGCGCTGCAATGAACATGGGGGTGCATATATTCTTTCTGATTGGTGTTTCTGATTTCTTGGGACATATTCCTAGAAGTGGGATCACTGGATCCATCTCATCTTCTATATTCAAACATTTTAACTCTTAGGTCAGGAAGAGATTACAGGAAAAGATAGCATTGTGTGTCCCCTTTCCCCCTCGTGGAGGACAACCTCTTTATGGTAGCCCAGACCACTCATGACTCATCTTCTGCATCTGGGCATCAGGTGAGAGGCCCACCTGATGTTTCTCCAGGGCCTGTTTCAAGTCCCATAGTCAGAGAGGGACTCCTCTGGTAAGATATTAGGAAACTAGAACCATGGGTATTTCAGAAGAAGGGTTACCTGTCACCTGTGGACGTGGCTGACACCACTCAGAGATAAGCTTTAGACTCAGGTGAGCAGACAAACAGGTAACCTTGGGGAAGAAGAGAGGGAGATGGGGGGAGGGTCCTAGAGGCTCCTGAGAATCAGTTGTAATCATCAATCAAGGCTTCTTGGCAGGTATCTTTTAAAGCTACATGCCCGTTTTCTGAGAACTAGTTCAGTCAACTTGGTCTCATGGGGCTAAAATCTAGGTGTCACGGAGCTGGTTGCCTCTGGAGGCTCTGGGGGAGAATCTGGGCCAGGCCTTTCCTGTGTCCAGAGCTGTTCACTCCGTGGCTCGTGGCCCTTTGTCCATCATCAACATCTCCCATCACACGGCTGAGGCCCCTCCTGCACCCTCCCCCACTTCTAAGGACCCTGTGCTAACACTGGCCAGATGCAGGATCATCGTCCACACCCTGGACCCCCCGTTGCTGGGCAGCCCACCACAGTCACAGGTCCCAAGCAGTAGGACCCAGATACCTCTGAGGTCATCATTCTGCCAACAATAACCACCAAAACAAGTTTCCATGCCCTAAACCTCCAGCTCTGGGGAGCTGGAGCAAAGTGTGTCCCCACCACACAGACATCTGTGGTGCCCAGTGCCCCTCCCTCAGACCCCTGGGCCCCGTCACTCACAATGATCCCTGGGTAGTAGCCCCCCACGGTCACATTCTCCGTCCTGGTGGTGGCAGCGAGGCCGATGGTCAGGATGAAGACAGACACCACAAGCAGAGACCCCACAAACCAAAGGGAAGTCTTCTTTCTTCTCCCAAACCCTTCTGGGAGGAGGACAAATGAGGAAGCTGTTAGTACGGGGCAGGCTCCAAGGGGGGTCCTAGCAAACATGAGCGCATTTGGTGTCTGCGTGGCCCTTGTCTCTGAGCCCTACAGGCTCTGGGAGATCTCTCTGTCCCGGAGCCAGGGGCCCATGCTAACTGCTCTCTCCTTCGTCAGTGCCCACCTCAGGTGCACTGAAGCTTAACCATCTCAATCCCTATGACCCCACAAAACAGGGAATGAAAGAAACACATGGTGTTTCTTCTGACGCCAAATGTAAATCGTGTGTGTGTGTGTGTGTGTGTGTGTGTGTGTGTGTGTGTGCGTGTGTGTGTTGCGCACACACATGTGTTTAATGGGGAAAACCACTCAGTATCTCACTGCAACCACTAGCTCAGATGACCCCCTGAATTGCAGACATGCAGACATTGTTCATACTCTAAAGCAGGGCTGGGAAAACTTTTCTCTGCCAAGGGCCTTTTGGATACTTACAATATCATTTGCAGCCCATACAAAATTATCAACTTAAAAATTAGCCTGCTCTATTTGGTCAAACATTTAATTAACTCACCCCTAATGCCTTGGCAGGGCCAGGCCAAATGATTTCTCGGGCCTTATACAGCCCGCGGGCCGGATGGTCCCCAGCCCTGGCTCTAGGTTTGCCTCCAGAGATTGGCACTTCTGCAGTCCTAACAACAAGGTTAGAACACCCCAGAACAGGATTGTTACATACTCAGAAATAGATTGCACAAAACTATAAATCGATGTGAAAACTCAGAAAAACTTGGCTCAACTGAGTACACTGACCTAGGGTATATATCTTAGGAAGGACACTTCAGTCCAGGGGCTAAAGGGAACCTCATGCAAGACCCCCCATCCCTTCACCAGCACCCCTCTCAGACTCCACACAGCCCTCAGCACAGCCCACTCCCTCCAGACCCTTGGGAAGACACTTCTCCCAAGAATCTCATCCTAAACCACCTATTACCTTCAGCCTGGAGGGGATGAGATCAATTCATTCACTAAGAAAATAAACCACCAGAGAGCTGACGGTCTGGGCCCAGGCGCAGCACCCAGGACCTGGGCATGCATGGCGGGGTGGAGTCAGGAGGGGGCTCCCCTCTGCACAATGGCCCTGCCCTAATGTTGCCTGCAAGGCTCTGCTCTGCAAGCCCTGGCCCAGACTCTTTAGACTCAGATGTGGCTATTTAGGATTTAAATCCCAGCCTTCAGGCTCCACAGTTCCTTCTGTTATGCGCTCCTCTCTCTGGCTCCCTAAAGATGCAGGTTTATCTACATCCACAGGGAGGACTCTTGTACCTGCTCCCTGGCTTTACTTGCTAGAGCCAGCTGTGCCTGGGAGAGCCAACTGTTGCAGAATTTTGAGCAGCACTGTGCTTGCTGTGTTGAGAGTAAACTACAGAGGGACAAGGATGGACTCTATAAAACCTTTTCCAAAGGCTCCGCCTTGAGGATGGACCAGCTGGGCAGCCCGGCCACGCAGTAAAGGGCAGAGCCTTCCTTAAGAGCGGTGGCCCGCTGACAAAGGCGCTGTGCAGCCCTCAACAAGAGCACAGGTAAAGCAACGAAGTTGTCGTGATCACAGCCCCCCGGGGCCAGCCACATGCCACACCTCTCATTTAGGCCTCTCGGACATGCCCTGGCAGTGGGCTCCCGGCCCCACCACAGTAGCCTCTGCAGAGTTTTTGCTGAATGAGCATTGAGGGATGAGTATGGACCCAAGAGCGAATGCATAAGTGGTTGTATGAGTGGCCCCATGAGTGGATGCATGAGTAGACACACAGGAGCACAGAGATGATGTGGGAGATGATGCTGACTGCCCACGGCCACGCCACCAGGCACATCACTCCCACACGGGTTCTGCAACATCTCCCAATGTTTCTAAACTCCGCACATATTCCCTACTTTCTGTCCTTTCATACCAGCCACCTCGAGGCCCACCATCCCTCCCAAGGCACTCTGTCCTGAGGGCACTGGCCAAACGACAACCCATGTGGCCTGATGCCCACAGTTGTACTCTTATCAAGAGCATGGGCCCTGCTCGCTGCGTCAGCAGAAGCAAGTCACTTCCTGTACCTGCTGCAGTTTTGTGGATGGCGAGGAAGTTCCAACTCAAATTGAGGTTTGCCGGGGTATCTGAGAGGTGTCTTGATTAATTAATTATGTCTGCCCTGTGCATGGGAGGAAGGAGCTGGGGCACATTTGCCAGCCCTGAATAGGAAATCCAAGGCCCCTCCAGATCCAGCATTCTTGGATTTTTCCCCCCACTTGTCTGCCTCAGTTTCACACTTTTTTTTCTCACATGTAACTTTTTCACTGACCTCAGGAATTTCTCTTTCCAACACCTCTCATTATATTTGTGAACAAAAAACCAACCCTAATTGGGGCTGGAAAATATAACCAAAGTGATAATGACACTTTTACAAGAGAAAGAAATAATGTAAGTTTTCTATTTAAAAGGTATGGCTTTTATCCCATTCATAAAAGCAATAGTCATTTATTGTAGAACAGTTGAAAGTACAGAAAAATGCCAAAAAAAATTCACAGTAATCTTATCACCCAAAATTGCCAAGTAGGCATATAGCCTTATGGTCTTTCTTAAATTAGGACCAAAATGTTTTCAAAATTACTGCCATTTGCAACAACATGGATGGACCTTGAGAATAGTATGCTAAGTGAAATAAGTCAGTCAGAAAAAGCTAAGAACCATATGATTTAACGCATATGTGGGATATAAAACTGAAACTCATGAACACAGGGAAGGGGATAGATGGGGGGAGGGGGTCCTAATATATGATGATGGGAGAAGATTTGACTTTGGGTGGTGGGCACACGGTACAATATACAGATCTTATAACATAGAAACCCACACCTGAAACCTATGTGATCGTATTAACCAATGCCACCTCAATAAATTTAATTAAAAAATAAAAATAAAAATTTGTGGGTTTTTTTACCTAATAAATTGTAAGGATTTGTCCAGCTTTTAAAACACTTTTCTAAACATAATGTTTATTTATAATGTGTATTCCACTAAATGGATGTGTCAATTAATCTATCCTTACTGTTGTATATTTGGATTGTTTCTAATTTATTGGAAACATTGTGTTATTATTAAAACACAATGCAGAGCACAGGGGATTTGAGGGCAGTGAAACTGTTCTGAAGGATATTATACATGTCGTTATAAATTTGTCCAAACCTGTAGAACGTACAACACCAAGAGTGAACCCTAATGGACACTATGGATTCTGGGTGATAATGATGTGTCGATGTTGGCTTATTGATTGTAACAAATGTTGATAACAGGGGAGGCTGTGCATATGAGGGAACAGGGGGTGTATGGGAATTCTCTGTATCTTCCCCTCAATTTTGCTGTAAACCTAAAACTGCTCCAAAAAATGAAATATAGTTTTAAAAAAGAAAAGCACAATATGATAAACACCTTTTTAGAATGAATTTCTACAAGGGGGATTTTAAGGCAAGGAAGCAAAATATTTTTAAGGACAAAGTAAAAGTTTTGAAGTAAAATTGACTTTACAAAGCAGAAGATAAACCTACAGTCCTTGTACAAGCTTTGGAAAGAATTCTGTGTAACTCCACAGAATCCTTCACTTACAAACAAGAGAAGTATATATAGCTTTATCTGATTGTTGTTAAATTCCTGTTTTCATTGTTGTTTTCTAGTAGTTTTTATTACAAACATAGAATTGTTGAGGGCGACGCATGTGTGGGAGTGTTCCAGGGGAAAACACAGCCACAAGTGCAAGCAGACACTCGATGTGTTTGGGACACTGCATTTGCATCTGCTCTGGGAGTTCCCTATAGTGGACTTCCCCTTGACTGACATTTACAGCACCTTACTTGCAAAGAAGGGTGCATGCAGACAGGATGACCTTTTTGTCTTGCATTTGTTTAAAGCCAGAAACCAATGCTACCTGTACAAGGCAGTGTGCCTGAGAGTCAGATGGGCAGTTCTGGGAAAGATGGCAGCAGATGTGGGTGTCTGTGGCCTGAAATGGCAGCGCCACTTTGAGAACAAGTGGCCAATAGAGTAAAACAAAAGAAAGAGACCTCCCCAGGGGTGAAATTCTGCTCTGGTTTATTAATTTTACAGAGATAGGAACATTTTTTAAAAAAGGACACAAAATTTAAAAATATATATGCCGGCTGGTGTGGCTCAGCAGTTGAGTGTTGACCCAGGAAACAAGAGGTCACCGATTTGATTCCTGGTCAGAGCACATGCCCGGGTTGCAGGCTCCGTCCCCAATAGAGGTGGCAGGGGTGGGGGGTGCAAGAGGCAGCCAATCGATGGTATTTCTCCCTCATTGATGTTTCTCTCTCTCTATCCCTCTCCCTTCCTCTCTCTCTCTAAAAATCAATAAAAACATATTTTTTTTTTAAGTTAGAAATATATCTTCTACATTTTGGAAGTTAATGTAATTGTTCTTGTGGACGTTCATAAAATAATCATACTAATGATAACAATAATACCTAGTAACTGGGTAGCAGCTGCGGCTTTTCTCTAAGTCTCTTCGTCTCATTCAACGAAGATCAGAGGATTAATCTCTCCTGATTCCTGTGTTACCCTTCCCAGCCTCCACATACCTGTGCACAGAGCCAAAGCTGGTTGCTTTTAATCGGTGCAATTTCCTCTTCAGCTTTTCTTCCTTGACTATTTTTTCCCCTTAGTTGCCCATTGCAATGTTTTGATTGTTAAAATGGGATTTAAGATCCATAGGACTTGTAACCTGAATTTTATGGGGCTAAGTATTTGAGGAAATTATCAGACAAATGCCCTCCTCCTCAAAGGATTTTGTTTTGCTAGTTTTCCTAATTAAGTGCATTGCATGTCTGTTATGCCCAAAATAATGAGCGAGGTACCTCAGCACTTACTTCAAACCACAGTTATAACCTTCTCTGTGCCTCATCTCTTAGCTCCCTTAGGAGTCTGCCTGCAGAAGCCCCGGGACGATATCCTGGTTCTTCAAGCTTGTGATTCTGTTTCTTATTCATCCCCTCGGGGATGCTGGCATGATGAACGAGGATCAGACCCACCAAGCTAGCAGCATGTGGTCAGCCCTTGTCAAATTTGTTAGTGACATTCTGACTTCTGATCACAGCGTAAAACGTTAAACACACCTCTGAGCTCGTGAAAATCTTCCGATGAATCATTTTCAATATAACTTTACCATTTCACCCCTTTTTCCCAAGCTGGGCTCTTCCTCTGAAACGGCTGCACGATAAAAAGCAGAAGGTGTAAGCCACCCCTTTTTGTCAGCATTTCTATCATAGGTTCCCAGGTTCATAGAAGGCCAGGAAAGAGAGCCAGCATAATTCACGTGGGAAGCCAGGGACAAATGGTTCTGAACAATCTTCTTCTATTCACACCTGCTGTCACATGTGACTCCAGGTACAACAGAGATAACAAAAAGAAGAATCTTGACCTTATTCTTTATAAATATAGGATAGTGCAAAAAAAAATAAGAATCAAAATATTAATAGGTTAATATTGCCTTATAATTACCATGAGACATATGCAGGTTTTGGAGAGAAAGGAGATTCTGAATTGGAGAAAGACAACTAGAATTACCTGAATTGTTCCCTAGATTCCCCTACCCCATTAGCAAGACTATTATTATGTGCATTGCTACCATTAAAGCACTCTTAAGACAGTGCCTGTGAACTAAAATACCTACTATTAGGTGTGTACCTGTGGTGACAGCTTCCATGGACTGTGTCTAACCTGTTCAGGATCTGCTCAGACCAGCTGTGTGATCTTAGGCAGCCAGCCATCCTCTCTGCGCCCAGCCGAAAGAGAACTCCGTGAGAGCAGGGCCTGTGTCTGTCTTGTTGTGTGCGGGACTCCAGGGCGAGCTCACACTGGGAGATAGCGCGTTTCCTCATGTTGGATGAATGAATGAACTTCAGTTTCCTGATCTGTGACGTTGAAGTAATAATAACCACCTACTTTGCCCACCTCTTAAGACTGTTATAAGGATCCAGTGAGAGAATATATGTGAAAGGTCTATCGGTGTTTCTATGAATGCAATGAATATATTAATTGTGGCACTCATAAATATGTCAACCATGGCAGTGTTAATGTTAAGATGGCATAGCACTGGTTCTGAACCAGTGTTTCTCCAGGGGGGAGTTGGGGGGGGGGAGTCTGACGTGTGAAGCTCAATGGGCCAGCAGCTACATCTCACCTGTCGTGCTCACTGTTTCTCCAGACTCCAGTCTGTCCCCCGGTGCATACTATCTAGAATATCTCAGATATCACTTTGTCACTCCCCGTGAGCCCCTCCAGTTCTCTTGCCCCTACCTGTCCCTATGCCCAGCCTTGGCCAGAGTTGCTAAACCACAGCTCCTGTGACAACCCGGTCTTGTCTGGAAGAAGTGAAAGGATGGGGGGCAGGGCGGGCGGGGGGGGGGGGGGCAGATTCTGTCTCCGTCACTCAGCATTTTCTCCACTTAGTAAAGCCAGGAAGAGAAGGGGGATTTCATAAAGACTTGGGGAGGGGGTCAAAGTCATGGCCTACCTGCTGGCAGGCCCAGGCCTCCCCGAAAGAACAATGGGTTCTTTTAATCATGGGGGGATGCCCAGTTGTGGAGGTAAAGTGGCAGTCCCTGGGAAAGTAGACCAAGGCAGAATGACATAGCCCCAGCCATCAAGCTCCCTTTTTTCCTGATTTTAATGTAACATGTGCCCAAGGTGGTGAACACAAAAATGTAAGAAAGAAAATACCCATAATCCCATCCAACTACACTAAGGTTTTGTGCTTTGACATAAAAGACCAACTCCTAGTGTTTTTTTAAATTTGTAATCCCTCCTCACAAGAAAAAAAAAAAAAAGGCAAATGGTATTTTAAACCACCAAGTCATTCTAGTATAATAATACAGTAATAACTAGTTAATAACACAAAGTTATTAGTAACTAATTCATTTCCTGGAGGATGAAAACGCTTGTAAGTAAGTTTTGCAATAGAGCATTTTGCTTTAGAGAGTGGGGGGAGATAGAATTGTTTCTTTGAAGAAGAAGCCAGAGTCCTTGATTATTATTTAAAAATCAAACAGCATTTCTACTCTGGTTTTTAAAAAGAGACTTTCCAACGATACTCCAAACAGGGTTCTGAGGTTTAAAACCCATAGTTTTCAACGGGATCGTTTCTGAAGCCAGGGGCAGGGCCCGGGGAGACTGCCTGTGGCCCCTCACTGCAGCTGTCAGCGCATCCCTTACTGTGCAACTTTTTCCCTTATTTTCAAAATCTTCTCTGCCCTCTCCCCTTCAGGAAAACACATCCAACATGACCCCATATTGGCCACTTCCCAGGAGAGAGCCTAGGCCAGTTCCCCAACTTGTAACGTGCAACAGGTTTCCTGTTTTCCCGCTCACGCCTGGCTTCCAGGCTGCATGGGTCTTGATTCCAGAAATCAAAGGATTAGAGATTCCGAGGATTTGTGGGGCTGAAGTCTGTGGAGGGGCGCATTGGAATGGAGAGAAAAAAAACTGTGCCTCGGTGGCTTTCAAGCAAGAAGAAGCTAACTGGCTCCTTGAAAGGAACGTGAAGAAATTTTAGAGACTGAAATAGGGAGAGACGGAAAGGGGGGAGTGTGGGTTGCCCCATTCATACATACGGTGGTCCATTGTTCCTAATGACAGACAGTAGGAAAGAGACAGGGAGAGACGTACAGAAAGGCGGAGGAGAGGAACTATGAATGAAGAAGAGCCTGTGCCAGGGCCAGGGTCCCACGGCTACAGGAGGCGGGAGGGCGGGCTGGGACCCGAGGGGAGCCTGCGAGGATGCGCGGGCCGCGCTCACCTGTCGTGTCCAGCAGGGCCAGGGGCCCGGGCACCGGCAGCGCGGGCGGCTGCATCCCTGGCTGCTCCTGGGCGCGGCGCGAGGTTGGCTCTCCCGGTGCCACAGAGACAGTCCAGGTGCTGCGCGGTGGCTGAAGGCTCTGCCGCCCTGAGCGCCGCCCTTCTCTCTGTCCGGTCTGTGGGCTCCCTTCCCACCTGCTCTCCGCCCCCTTCTCGGTCCCCTCCTCTCTGCCCTCCTCCCCTGCCCATCACTCCCCCTCCCCCCACCCCCCATCCTTCTCCCTTTCACCACTCACCCCCTCCACCCCCTCCACCTCCCCCACCCCATCTCCCTCCTCTCCCCCTCTCTCCCTTCTCCCCGCCCCCAGCCTCCAGCCTCCTCCAGCTTTCTCAGAAATCAGACCCTCCAGCTAGGACGCCAGGAGTGGGAGACAGGCCCAGGGTGGAGGACACTCTGCATCTCCGGCCTGTGTGCCCACCACCGGGGCCAGAAGTACACTCAGAAGTGAGTGGTTGTCATGGAGACGCCCACTTGTCTGAACTGAGTAACTGGTAACATTTTAAGATGAAGAAACTGAGGCTCAAGGTAAGTAAGGTAAGTAGCCCAGGGCCACACAGCCAGTCAGCGGTCAGCGTGGCTCAGGCAGTCAGTCCCACCCAGCTCACACCCGCCACCCTGCGCACAGCCTGTTCCAGAGGCTGGAGGGGCTCATCCGAAGTGCCAAAGGTTTACTGAAAATACGTTTTTAACATGTGTGTGAGTATCGCCAGGAATGATATCCTTTTCCAACTAATACATTTGTCACAGAAAATTTTAGATGCAAACGTGAAGGAGCAAGATTTTGAAAATGCATGTGGGCTAACGAGCCAAGAATCTCAAAAAGGGCAGTTTTAAGGGGTCGGTCGTGGCAGGTGTCAGCACGCCCCAGAAGTCCAGTGGCCCCGCCTCACCTACATCCCGTCATCCTCCAACAATCTCAGTATCACTCCCCTTTCACCCATGAGGAAACTGAGGGTCCAGGAGGTTAACCGGTGAGACCAAGCGCAGATCCAGAATTCCTACAAATCCTGCGTGTTTAATTATCGGGAGGGTCGTTAGAATTTTCTCCTGAGAACCCCTCCCTGCCCCAAGTGTGTGAGGTGTGTTGGTGCCAGTTATGCCAGTTGACAGCTGGTATAGCATACTGCCTTGGGCCGACACAGGAGGCCTGTAGCAAACTGAACTCTGCAAAAAGCAAGAGTCTGGGATCAGGTTATTTTTAAAATGTAATGTAATTTAGCTCTTACAAAGGCAATTATGAGAAGATGAGGAAATCTGTCGTATACTAGTCTGAGGATAATCAGAGGGACTGAACAAATTATTATTGACATGAAATAACCTATTAAGACAGTTATGATAAATGTATGCTGTCCTCCCTAATACCAAATTCCTCCTGCTCAGAGTAAATGTTTAAAATATCCTACAGTGTCCCACCTTGACTGCCCTTACATGAACACAGGTCCCAGCCGGCCCCAGAAACAACAGTCTCCTCAGAGGCTCTCACCCAGAGGCCAATAGGAATGAGGGCGGGACTACCCTGTGCCTACTCTTTAGCACCTACTGTATGCCTCGCACTGTGATCGCCACTGTTCAGATGCTGCCTTCTTTTATCCATACAGTATTATACCCATTTCACAGATGAAGAAACTGAGGCAACGAGAATTTAAATAATTTTTCCAAAGTCAAGTAGCTGGTCAATGGCAGAAACAAGACACAAAACAGGTCACTACAATTTCAAAGCATAATTATATCTTATGAATGGGAAAGCATGTATTTATTTACCTGACTACAGACATTTAGTTTAATTTTTTATTTATGCAATCAACATATATTTACCGCACTTCCTCTATGTGTAAGATACTAAAAGAGCTGCAAAGATGAATCATATAGACATGCCCTTTAAGAAATTCACAAATAAAAGTGAGAAATGGGGGGAAACAATGTACTATCTATATATATATAATCTATATACACTGAATGGCCAGATTATTATGACCACCCCATCAGTACAATGAAGTGAATTAGTTATGCAAATAATAATAATAATAAAACCTTGAGAGTATTTGCTTAGGAAGTTTTCAATATTCAGTATTTTTGGAAGTGTCAATGAAGTACTGATGGGGTGGTCATAATAATCTGGCTGGTCATAATAATCTGGCCACTCAGTGTATATAAAAGGCTAATATGCTAAGTGTCCATCCAGGTAATGATTTCACATAGCAACGCCCGGCTTCCTCTCCCTGGCAACTAGCCTCCTTGCAGTTTCTTCAGCCCAGGAACATGACTTGCTTTATAGCTAGGTGGAAACATTTCACTCTTTAACCAAATATCTGTGAAGCATTTTCCTGTGCCTCATCTCATTTGATCCTCACAGAAGTCCTGGAGTAGGTAGATAGGAGACTCAGTGGATTCCTATTTTCTTTTCATTAGCCAGAAAACAGAAATTTAGAAAGCTTAGAAACTTGACCCAACTGAAAAGAAGTAAGAAATGGTGGACCTTTAAAATGACTTCAGGTTTTCTCACTGTGCAGAATATAGTCAATCACTGCTGCAGTTAAATATTTTACCCTTACAGATCCAAAGACAGAGAAACAGCAATCAGACTATTAATCCCCAGAGGGAAAGTGGGGGAGGGAGGGGGCAAGGGGAAGAGATCAACCAAAGGACTTGTATGCATGCATATAAGCCAAACCAATGGACGTGGACAACAGGGGGATGAGAGTATGGTGGGGGGAGGGGAGGATGGGGGTTTAATGGGGGGATGAGGACACATTTGTAATACCTCAACTAATAAAGAATTAAATAAATAAATAAATAAATAAATAAATAAATAGTTTACCCTTTGTGCTCCCTGTGTGATCTACAATAATAATCTGCTTTGTGTTGATATTTACTGCTATGTTGCTGACAATTACCTGAAAAAGGAGTTGGGGTGCTTCACCGGGCTGGAAAAAGTTTAGCTAAATCAGAAAGCAGGTCTAATTAAGCAAGTTTATTCTATATCTATAAAAGGCTAAGTTGAGTCACACATGCTCCATACATATAAAGCTCTCACTGGCACCAATCGCACGCGTGTGTTTCCATCTGTCATTGTTGATCATGAATTTTGTTGACACTTCTATTATAAAGAAATAATGATATTAAAATATTTCTTCTAATTAATTTCCTTTCAATGTGCACAAATTTGTGCACCGGGCCACTAGTTATACTATAAAGCAGACGGTATGATAGTATCTGTGAGTGCAATTACCTTATGAGAGCACTACCAGCATCCTGCTGGGCATGGCCCTGCACGTATAGAGGTCAAGGCCTTTCTGGTGACCACACAGTGACCCTCAACCTTGCCTCCCACTGGCCGGGTGCTCAGGACACTTCAGCCAGAGCTCTGGAGGTGAGGAACACTTGAGGTTCCTGAGCGGGTCCGTGATCAGCCAGGACCGGGAACCACCGAGTTCAGGACAGATAGGGTGCTAAGAGAGACAAGTGGAGGATAGGCGGTTCCAGGAAGAGGCGGTGTTTGTTTCAGGCCTGGAGGATGGAGCTGGGGAAGGGTGGGGCAGAGTTTCAGAAACTCCGGAGCAGAGCTAAGTCAGAGAGGTGGAAAATCGCCATTAAGTCTCACAGTTCCGGGCCATAGGTCTCCTTGCGTCCTGCTCATACCTGGTGGCATACTTTTCCCCGCATGAAGGCCAGCGTGACCTGCTCATGTCCCTGGAGACCCGTCCAGCATGGAAGAGCTGATGGGAGAGGCTAGCTCCACCCCAGACTAATCTTCCGGATCCTGGGTCAGCCCATTGTCTTTGTGGGCCCCACACAATCATGTCAGCGCACGCGCGCGCGCACACACACACACACACACACACACACGCACGCACACGCACACACATGCACACACACATACCAGGTGGGCCCCAAGTTCCAGCCTAGACATGGTTATGTCACCAATTGCCCCCTGTCTGCCACTGAGCTCAGGTGGCGGTGGCCAGCATGCCTCTGCGTCCTCCCTGCCAGGTGAGAGGGTGGGGCCTGAGTGACCCTGTGCCCACCGCCCAGTCCTACTGCAGAAAGGCTGGCCTGGGAAGCAGGGCACTGACCACTCTGGCACTGACTGACCTCTCCCCTATCCCTCTGTCACGGCCCTCGCGTGCCTGGGTTTAGGCTTTTGAGAAGCCACAGATGGAAAGCCCTGCAGGGACTTTGCCTGTCCACCCTGCCACAGGCCTCCCTCCCTGCAGCCATGAATGTCGCAGGCTCCAGCTTGAAGTAGGGGAGGAAGGACAAGAGAATTTAGAACTCAGGGTGATTTAAAAAAGTAGGATCGAGCTACCCAAGAAGGGGGTGCACACAGACCCTCTCTGGTTGCCCCTGCCACTGCCAAGGCCGAAACTGGCCAGGACAGAGAGCCAGGGAAGGGCCTTTCCAGGGGCGTTAAGAACTACAAGCTTTGCCTCCTTTGGATAAAAGCAGGTGTGAGGGGTGGGGGTGGGCAGGGATGGCCACAACACTCAGTTCTATTATGAAAATAAATTCACCAAGAACAGGGACTTGTGCCCTTTTGTCCCCTGCTTAAAACCATGTCCCACTCATGGCAGGCACTCAATAAAAATACATCGAAGGAAGACTGAATACACTTGATTCCCAAACACCACTTAGCACCAGCTCCCTGCCAGGTCGGGCCACATGCTGGGCACATCAGCCCTCTCCCACCTGCAACCTCACCTCCTCGGCCCCACCAGCCAGAGAACTCATTGGAAGAGCCGTCACTTCAGTCTGACTGATGGGAAAAGCCGTTTATTTGAGCAGCTAGGGGTCAACGGGCTCTCACAACAAGGACATGGGCTCTCCCGAGAGAGGAATTAACCACAAAGCCACCTTTGTCAGTCATGGACGTAGTTTGGTTCGTCCGGTTTGTTCCAGAGCCACGGGCCACTTGGCCCTGTGCAGGTGCGAATCATCACAGAAGCATGTGTGTACACAGCCCGACCCTGGGCTCTCAAGGGTTAGTGGAGGGCAGAG